TTTAAGCGGACTACTGGAAGTCCAGGACTACCAAGTCAGGATCCAAGGGGTGAAAGTCCACAGAAGAGTGGCTTGTAATCAGAATAGAAGGGTATCTGAGCAAATCTTTGAAAAAACATGGATCTGATGTGAGTCTTTTTATGTTCGGGTTGATGGGACACTGTATCCATTTAAATCTCTGGGTGGCCTCCGAGAAAGCAAAGGTGAGAAAGACACTGGCTACTCTTCCATGGCCAATGGAAGACCACCTGGGAAGACAAACAATCATGATGCTAAATGTGGGAAGATGTATGTCCATAACTGGATGCCCAGGACAGGAGACCAGTATTGTCTGTACTTGTTTTCTTTTGTACTATCATAGATCAGCACAGCTTCAGTATCTTAAAACAATACAAATCAATTGTCTTTACACTCTGGATGTCAGGGTTCAGGAATGGATCTGACTGTACTAAAATCAAGGTGGTGACAGGGCTATGTTCCACTTGGAGTCTCTAGGAGAGGATCCTTTTCAATTTCTTTTTCAGCTTCTAGAGGCTGCTCCCCTTCCTTGGTTTGTGACCCCTTCCATCATCAAAGCCAGCCATGGTAGTCTGAATATCTTCCTCCCATCCTATCTCTCTGACTCCTGCCTCTTTGTTTCACATACAAGGGCTTTGTGATGAAGTTGTTCCAGCAGATAATGCAGGACGTCAACTGCATTATCTTGAATTTAACCACATCTCCAAAGTCCCTTTTGCTACAGAAAGTAACATATTCACAGGTCCTAGGGATTAGGGTGTGCACATTTTGGGGTGGGTCATTATTCTGCCTACCACATTGTCAGAGGAAATCAAGGTGGTCTAAACTGTGCGTGCGATGATGCAGGCGGAGTTTTGTAGAAAAATGAGTAGATTTGCAGATAGCTAGTGAATACATTGGAGCAATGGAGGAAGGATGAAGCACAGGCAGAGAAAACCCTACACAAAACAGAGTCAAAAATCTTTCATGCTTCACTTCCTTGTTAAATATACAATCTGCCCTGTAAGCAAACTCCCCTGACATTCTCAGCCATTGTGCACACTACCAGCATCTGCTACCCTCCTGGAGATTTTCATAGATTAATATCATATTTCCATAACTAGTTAAATACTAAGGTTAAGCCTGCTGATCTATTCAAAAGGTTCATTCTTCTTTCTCTCTCTTTAAAAATGAATACACCCTTTTCTCTTGTTGAGAGTTCAAACATCTTTTCATCATTCACAAGAACCGAATAATATGATTACAAACAGCACTGAAATACAATCTGTGTCCTCCTTAAGTCAACAAGAATTTCCAATGTCTCATCCTGTTGATTTGCATACACTCTTTACAAAACAACCCCCTCCTCTGGTGGCCTACTTTGAGTTCTAAACTTTCCATCAAACCAAATGGATCAGATGCAATCTATTTTTATTTGCTTTCCACCAGCAGGGTCAACATACTCCTGTCTCCATGAGGAGTGTGTGAAAGTGAATCAGAAGCAAAAACAGCAGGGAGAATGGGGAGCAAGGCTCGGTGAGCCCGTGATCACCCCTTCAGATGATTAACAACCAACTGTCAACAAATACTGCATCTGGCTTGCTTCATTGGACTCCCTGTGTTACATAGCTTAGGGATGGAAACATTCCAGCCCAGCCCACACACCATTTGCCAAGGACTCCTGGACTAGAAACGCCATGGGGTCAGGGAGCCCAATCAAAGCTTCCTCCATTTTGCCTCCATTGCATAATCCTAAAGTGGCAATCACGCTCCACTCCAAAAGTGGTTTGAAATGTCTAGATGGTTCCTGGTTCAATTGGATGAATTTTTCCAGGAGTACTTACCAGGATGTCTGAATCTGAGAGTTATACAGATATTTTTTTTTTATCATTTAGGGAGTCTCAGATCAAGTTAGATAATTGCAATGTTTCCCTAAGAGAGTTGATGTTTTGTAGTAGACATACACCTGCTTGTTCTTAAATATCCCCCCGGTAAGAAAAAAAGCACAAATTTCATTAAGTCTCAGAGGTAATGTGACAGTGTCAAGGGAGGCAAAATAACAAAGGGAGGCTGGGGGTGGTGTCCAGATATGTCTTCTGAAATGTGACTTTTCATGAACTTTTGTTATATATCTTTATTGTGAAACTAAAAATAAATCAAATAAATCATGTAAGAATAAATAAAAATAAAATTAAAATATGTGTATGTTTCTTTTCTATAATAACACATTTCTGTTATCTTGGTGTTTTGTCCCCTACATTCTTCCCTACATTTGTGTGCTATTTCTTTGGCGCTTTCCTTGGTGACCTAGCCTAATTTCCAAGGATAGTTGCATTCCCACTTGCTTTTCAGATTTCTTATTGCCCTGATTTTTGCAAAGTTTGTATTTTTCTATTGTTTTAGTCCTTTGTAGGCATGGGAAATACAGGCTGTAGTAGCAGATTCCTTAAAAAAAAAAAAAAAAAGCAACAATGCCATAAGGGTTTATTTGACAAATCATCTGGAAAAGATTGTAAGACATGTCCTATGACTATCTATATATCACTGTTCATGGCCACACCTATGATGTTTGAGGAACCCTAAGCATTTAAGCAAAAGCGAATATTCCAATAATACCTGCACATGTCAGGCACCATGATGAAATCCAGGGACATAAGCATGAGTCGAGAGTACAGGATTTAAGTATGGGTAAGATGTGGTCTCTGCCATGAAGAAAAAAGTCCAGAAAGGACACAGATATGCAAATAGTTATAAGGCAATTTGATAAGTGCTTTTACAAATGTATGAACTAACTCCTTTGGGAGCACAGATAAAAGAACAATTAATTCAGCCTGAAGGAGTTCAGGGAAGCTTCAGATAAGAGGTCACATTTCAATGGGGCCTTGTAAGAAGAGTAGAACTTCACTAGGGATATAAGGATATGGGAGAGATAGAAAGGATCGAGGAAAACTATATAACAAGTAGAAGGATCAGCATGAATAAGGGTTCATAAAAGCTCATGATTCCATACCCGGTACATGTTCAGCTCCAAAAAGCATTTTTGAATGAATGAGTGTGTGAGCGAAAAAATGTTTGAGGAATTGGCAATAACCTACCATTTTCTCAAAAGATGGGTATTTTGAGGTTAAGAGAGGGCATAATTGTGGTGAATTGCACATTATTCATGGGAGTTATTAGTTGGGATTCCTATGTCATAGTTGCTATGATTGCATAAGGGGATAGAGATTCTCCAACAAAATCTCACTCTTTTCCTATTTTACAAGTGATGGGATGGGAGATGTGATGAAAAGGAATTATAGCCTTATTCATTTCTTAACTGATCTCCATAGCCTATTTCTAAATGAACAGGAAGTGTAGTGATTTAAAAAATTGGTCAGATGGTTAATAACTAGTTTTATTTATTTCACAGGAGAAGGTTTGAATTTCAAAATAAAAATCACTCTCCTCAGGAAGGGCTGTGTACTGAGAAATGTTTGTGCAGGCTGGTATTTCCATGACTACTGAAACAGGTGTCTATTGCACTCGTGCAAGCGGTAAGAGAAGGTAAATTGGAGGAGGTGATGGCGGGGTGGGTGGAGGGCTGGAAGAGAAGTTGACAAATTTGAGAGAGATGTAGGAAGTAAAATAGAGGTTGTGAATCACTTATCATGAATTTCAGTATTTAATAAATATGTGTAGATACCATTTAAACCCAGCTAGGGTATTTAATAGATTCCTTCATGTTTTCAGTGAATATTTATTGAGTAACAATTATGAACAAAGTAAATTTGGTCAAAACACCAAGGACACAATTGAAGACAGATAAGATCGCTGATCTAGTGGAAATTATATTAAGATGGGTAGACAAATAACAAGTAATAAACTAATAACTGCTGGACAGAATAATTTCAGAAAGGGCAAAGAAGTGGGGTAGCAGGGAACTACTGTAGATCGAGAGGTTAGGAAAGGTGTGTTGAACTAGAAGACATTTGAGGGCACCTGAGAGGCCAACAATCTGGAAATGACCACTATTTACCCTCCTCCTTGAGTAAGACCCCCCATTGTTCTCTTTATCATCTGCCTGATTTCTCCCTTATTTGATAATTCACAAGTGCCTTTTATTCTTGAGTCTCTGTATTTTTAACTCCTTAGTGTTGTAGCACTTAACTATGAGGATTGGCGATTCCTTCATTGAATGTTTTGCTACCTTCTGCCTCGGGAATAGAAGCATTTCCTACTACGTTTAAAAAATAAAATCAAAAGGCAAAACACAAATTAAATGATTCTTAATTCTCCCACACACAGCCTTTCTTAAAGATAGATGCTCAGGGCCTTCCTGGTGGTGCAAGGGGTTAAGCACAGCACGATGAAGCTATCAGCAACCTCTGCAGCAAGCGTTCGATCCCCGGCTGGCCAGGGAGCTACCCACATGTCACAGCAGACCTCTCCTGTCTCGCCCACTAGTCTGCCTGTTCTGTTCCCCACTCTGTCTTTGGTGAATCCTCTCACCCCCGCACCTCTGGCCTGTACGCCCAGTTCTTGTATGCATAAATAAATAAATCTTTAAATAAAAGATACATGTTCAAACATATGCATGTCTTAAATGGATCAAGCTTCAGTATTTATTTCCTTTTTTAAAAAAATTGAATAACAACTCAGTGTGTGTATTTAATTGCTAAAAATATAATTGTTTGAACATGTTAAAATTAGTATTATTATTAGAGCTGTAACTGATGGAACTACCAGACATCTGGAGAAATTGATCTCCAAAGGTTCTACCTTTTAACTTACAGTTCTGTTAATTTTTGGAAATTTATTTGGAATTATACAGTTGATCCTTTTTAAAGGTTACTTTGGATTGAAATATTGAAGACATAGTGTATATTAAGTTTAATGATGATTAGAATTCTTATAAGTATGAAATCTGCTGAAGGGGGAAGCATAAATAGGTTTTTCCATATGCTATATTAATATAAATACATTGTAGTATCAGACATTTTCATTTAGTGAATACCATAAAATACCTTAGAATGGATTGTTTGAGCTACTTTTGTTTATGGTGTCTGTGACTCTCATTCTAATTTTCCATGTTCTCGTAGAGAAGGAATCTGAAACCTTGGGGGAAAAAGAAAACATACAAATGCTATTAGAGTACACATTTTTGAGCAGCAGGAAGGCAGTAGTAAGTGTCAGAGATTGATCAGGATTGTGTGCTATATATAAACCATTGCCATCAGGTGTGCCTTGCTTCGAGGTCATCCATGCACCCAAGCAGTAATTTGAGCAATTTAGAATTTCAGGCAGCCTTGGGAGGGAATTAATTATTGAAAAGTTTAACTTCAAGTGTAAAATGTATCTGTCTGGCAGATTTCTCAAAGAAACAGATTCTGTCCTTTCATATTAAATTAGATTTGGTTGTTGAATCAAGATTTTTTAATAATTATTTATACACACACACATACAATATGACAGCATGCCATTAGTTTTGCAGAAGTAGGAGACCATTCCAAAATGGAGAATAGATATACATATATATTTGTTATTTTCCACCTACAATAATCCATGAAATAAAAAAGTCCTCAAGCTTTATTACTGAAGAGATGTTGACTTTTACTGAAGTATTGCTATTACATTTCACATTGTTGAAATGAAACTAATGTCAATAAATGGAGATGCATCAATAGTTATTGACTAAAAATATGCATATTAAATTCTTATTTGTAGATCACTATTCTAAATCATCTAGACTCTGTTATTGAAAAAACAATTAAGAATTCACCTTAGAATCTAGAATATCATACAGATTCCATTTCTATTAGCTTGGAATCAACTTTAATCAAATGGTAGATTCTTCATGGCAAAGAATTCACTGTAGAGTATAACTTACTGGTTTTCTATACACATTCTTTGCTTTCTTCTTTACCTAAAATCTCCAAAGTTTTAGAGCACATGTGACCACATTTCCAAGCTTGAAAGTGTAGACACACCACAAAACTGTGGTTATGAGAGGTGATGTGTGCTGTTAAGAAGTCGCCCTTCTAGGGGCCTCCCTGGTGGCACAAGTGGTGGCACTCTATGAAGCAATCTGCAGCTTTTGCAGCATGTATTTGATCCCTGGCCAGGGAGAATCCCACATGGTGCAGCAGACCTCTCCTGACTAGTCCACTGCTCCCCTCAGCAGTGTACTTCGGTCAATCTGCCTGTTCTGTTCCCCACTTTGTCTTTGGTTAATCCTCTCACCCCCTACAACTCTGGCCTGTACCCCAGTTCTTGTATGCATAAATAAATAAATATTAAAAAAAAAGAAGTTGCCCTTCTGAAAAATATGGACTTGCCCTGAGCTGGCTCATTCTTACAGCCTGGGAAGCAGACGTTTTGTCTGGAGCTGCAGGAAACATCTTGAACTTAAAGGCAAATACCTTGTGTTCTTTTGGTTTATATTTGTTACATCAGAGACTGACCAGCTCCTGTCTTGTTTAAGGCTCTAGCTGGGGATCCACTCAGTCTAGAACCTAGTAGATAACTCTATATCATCATCTATCTAACTCTTTCTATTGTTTCCCAACTTCAGAAAGTTCACCCTTCATAATCTGTAAAATGATCACTTGGATTAGGAGGTTTTTTTTTTTTGTTTGTTTGTTTTTTTTTTTTTTTTTTGGTCAGTGGACAACAGGGGGATTAATTTTGAAGCATTTATAAGCTTGTTAGATTTGTCATGTATTTTAGAAACTCATGTACCATGCCAATGAAAGTTAGATTGTTTTAACATTGAATTGCACTCTTGCTAGCTGAAGTTTTGGTGAGCATGGAAATGTTAGCAGTACTCATAGAGCTCCAATGTGTGAATGAAATTTAGCTTTTTAAAAGGGTGGTTTTGACATTCCATTGGCGGTATATTATAGGGAATTTATGAAACCCTGATCCCCTCAAAGGGTTCTTCTGGTTATTACAGAAGGTTATTACACCTGAAAACTGGAACTAACAGGGAAGGAACCTGACTGAGTAAGAGCTATGATCATGAACCAAAGGCAAGTATACAAAATTCACATTTGAAAAAGCTGCAATTCAGTTGATAGCATTTAGAAATCAAATTGTGACCTAGTTAATAAAAACTCACTCTCTTTATTTGCTTTGATGATTGAGAACTCCATGAGGGCAGAGACCAGGTCTATTTTATTTACCTCTGTATTCCCAGCACTTAACAAAGAGTCTGGATCAGAGGGGCTTAGTGAGGCTCATGCATGACTGAATTAATATCACATTTTAATAAAATATTTCACGTTAGAATCTATTCTGTGTCCATTTGTTCTGCAGATTAGCAACAAAAGATGACACAAGAGTACAAAAGCATAACCAAAACATTTTGAGGCTGCAAAATTGATGCCTGAGATGTATTTGAAAGAATTAATGGGAGGAGAGAAGGCAAGAAGGTCATTCCATGACATGGGAACAATCACTTGTGCTTGAGATGTGACCCAGCCAAACCGCCTTACCCTAGGAAGACCCTGAGGATGCATAATTAAGGAAAAAAGATAATCTAATGACCCCACAGTTCTACTCTTAGGTATATAATCCCCCAAATTGAAAGCAGGTACACAAATAAGAACATGACACACATGTCCACTGCAGCATTAGTCACAACAATCGAAATGTGGAAACAACTCAAATGTCCTTGAATGGACAATAAGACCACAAATAAAGAAACTGTGATATGAATATGATATTTTCCATATGTACACAATGGAATATTATGTATTCATAGAAATAAGATCTAAATGCATTATGGGAGTGAAGCCAGACATTATAGGTTATAATATACAACTCTACATGAATGAATGAATGAATGAATGAACGAATGAATGTATGAATCAGAATAGATAGCAACATAGGAAAACATTGCAGATTAGTAACTGCCAGGAGCTTTAAAGAATAGAGAAGCCAGGGCCTCCCCGGTGGCGCAGCGGTTGAGAGCTGGGTTGCGAAGCTGCCCGCAGCCTCTGCAGTGCCAGTTCGATCCCCGGCTGCTCCCTGGCCACCGGAGGAGGGTCCCACATGGCGCGCCGCCTGCTGCTCCCCTCAGCAGTGTACTTCGTCAGTCTGCCTGTTCTGTTTCCTGCTCTGGCTCTAGTGAATCCTCTCACCCTCCCGCGCTTCTGACTGTACCCAGTGCTTGTATAAATAAGTAAATAAATAAATCTTTAAAAAAAAAAAATAGAGAAGCCACTTTATTTACTTATTTAATAAATATGTTGTTGAAATGCCATTTGCTTACACCACTGTTAGTATTTTAGAAGTATAAGATCTTCCATTTCAAGTGTAGTTATCATAGAGCACCCATCACTGACGCACTCATATCCTCCACCACAGTCCACTGTGTTTTTTTGTCCCACCCTGTTCTCACCTCTCCCTCATCTCTCCCCTCCTGAATGCTTCAGTTGTATGGTCAGCTTTCAAGAGTTGCTTTTAAAGTTTGTCTTTGTCTGACCCTTTGCTTGGTTTCTCTATATTGCACATATATGTAACACCATCCAGCATTATCTCTCCCCTCCTGGGTTATTTCAACTTAGCAAAATCCCTTCCAGCTCTACCCATGTTGCCACAAATGACATGAGTTTATCTTTTTTGGTCACTGAGTAATATTCCATTGTGTATATATACTACATTTGCTCAATCCACTCATCTGTTTTTGGGCACTTAGTTCGTTTCCATGTCTTGGCTATTATCAATAGTGCTACAATAGACATAGGAGTATAGTTTTCCTTTAGAATTAGTGTTTTCTGTATTCTTCAGGTAGATGCCTAGTAGTAAAAGTGCTAGTTGTATGGCAGATCCATTTTTTATTTTTTTAAGATTTATTTATTTATTTATACAAGCACTGGGTACAGTCAGAAGCACAGGAGGGTGAGAGAATTCACCAGAGTCAGAGTGGGGAGCAGAACAGGAAGACTGACAAAGTACACTGCTGAGGGGAGCAGCGGGCGGCAGGAGAGGTCTGAGCACCATGTGGGACCCTCACCCAGCGGCCGGGGAACGAACTGGCACTGCAGAGGCTGCGGGCAGCTTCGTAACCCAGCGCTCAACTGCTGAGCCATCGGGGAGGACCCATTTTTTATCTTTTGAGAGAACTCCACACCGTTTTCCGTAGGGCTGGGATAGTCCACATTCCCACCAACAGTTTAGAGAAATCATTTAACAGGTAAGGGACTTTACTTTGGAATGATGGAAATGTTTGGGAAGTAGATAGGCATGAAGATTGCACAACACCATGATGATATTAATTGCCACTCAATTGTTTATTTGAATGTGGTCAATGGGATGTTATGTGACTTTCATTTCAATAAATCATTTTTTTTAAAGATACCCTAATGGCTTAGAAATTCATCAATCATTTTTTCAGAATTCTTTCATCAACATGACAGCAATTCTATGAATATGCCTATGTGTCGTTCTGTTTCCTGAGTATATTTATGTTAAAGTTACAATCATCAGTTCATGCCAAAGTCTAGGCACAGATTTTCTCAATTAAAACATTCTGAAAGTATTGGACTTTTCATGGTAAATTTCATGTAGTATACCCATATGTTGATTTTTAAAGATGAACATCTCAACTTAAGGGAACAATGCAATGTTACTTCAATTTTAACATTAAAAGAAATGAATCATTTCATGTACTAAGATAAGAGGAACTCCTGGAGCTCCAACTGGGTAGACAATGTGACCAGCACCCAGAATGGGGCCTGAACAGCACCCGCTGCAGATTAGGTGTTGACCCCTCACGTGAGCAGCACCGTGTCCTCTCCTGCATGATGCCAGAGACTGTGTCCTCTACCCCGAAGGCCCCAGGAAGTTTCCCCCTCCCATCATTCATATCCAGGAGCTGGAAGATCCTGTTCACTTTCAGAGAAAGAGGCAGCTCATGAATTTTCATCACATGCACAGATGCAGATACGGGTCAAGGGGAGTTTCATAGAGAGTCAGAGGCAGACTCGACACCTCCTACTCCCTAAGGGGCACAGTCGGAAAAGGGGGCACTTGTAACTTTTACATTTTCAGTAAAGCTGTCAAAATGAATTAAGCATAGTGGGAAAAGGGAAGCTATGTTTTCTGAGTTGAAG